CGTGCTTCAGAAACCCTCCACCTTCCCCAGCTCCACCTGTATAGATCTGCTACGAGGTGATTCATATATGCTATTTGGGGGTTATTTCATGTATGTTATATTTGCAGCAGCAATATTTCTTGCATGCTCACAGCAGCATGTTGTGGATGTATTGGCAGTAGCAAGTCTCGGTACTTGCTCTGCAGCAGCAGCGTAGCAGATCTATTCCGCCAAGACCAAACACATTAACATTGTCATGTACATTACCATGCCAATCCCTCCGAGAGTTGTCATGACAGAAATCTTATTAAACTGTGCTGGTTTAAGATGACTTAGGAAATTATATTTCTCCAAACACTTTTGAAGACATTTTTTAGAGTCAACCTTGAATGCATTTTAGAATTTTTATCTAAAGCAAACATTAAAAACCTTATATAGCTTTTTAAATGCAAATTTCAACTTGTTCCTCACCATGGAAATAGCCAAGGAAGCTGGCATGGCATTAAAACAGCAGCCATCATGTCCCATGGCGTGTGTGGCAGGCATGACAGTGTGTGCGCTGAAGGACGGGCCTGGGATGCTGATCCGCAGCATCATTCACGGCGGCTCCATCAGCAGAGACGGCCGGCTCAGGGTCGGGGACCTGATTCTGGCCATCAACGGAGAACCGACGGGAAACCTGACCAACGCTCAGGCGCGAGCCGTGCTGCGCAGACACTCTCTGATCGGACCAGACCTGGGGTGAGACGCTCATTTACACACACACACACACACACACTCACACACACACACACACACACTCACACACACACACACACACACTCACACACACACACACACACACTCACACACACACACACACACACTCACACACACACACACACACACTCACACACACACACACACACACTCACACACACACACACACACACTCACACACACACACACACACACTCACACACACACACACACACACTCACACACACACACACACACACTCACACACACACACACACACACTCACACACACACACACACACACTCACACACACACACACACACACTCACACACACACACACACACACTCACACACACACACACACACACTCACACACACACACACACACACTCACACACACACACACACACACTCACACACACACACACACAGGTTTGTTTTTGTGAAAAGTGGGGACATCCCATAGGCGTAATGGTTTTTATACTGTACAGACCGTATATTCTATTGCCCTACACCAACCCTACCCCTAAACCTACCCCTTACAGGAAACTTTCTGCTATTTCAGATTTTCAATACACTCAATTCTGTGTGATTTATCAGCGTTTTGAAAAGTGGGGACATGGGGTAATGTCCTGAAAAGTCACCTTCTCCTTGTAATACCTATGTCATACCCTTGTCATTATACAAATGTATGTCCTCATTTGTCACAAAAACGCGCACACTCACACACACACACACACACACAGACACACACACACACACACACACAGACACACGAGATTCAGCTGAGCTTCTGTTCAACTTCTCAGGCACAAATCAGACACTCTATTATTGAGAGGTGGATAATTATAGACACTCTCAGAAAGGTTTGTGTTCTATCGTTTTATATTATTTATATTAAACACAGAGGGTTTCATTTGGCTTTTTCAAAAAACTATTCAGTGAGGCCCCATTAGTTAACATTAGTTTACTGCTTAAACTAACAATGAGCAATACATGTGTTACAGTATTTATTCATCTTTGTTAACATTAGTTAATAAAACTACAACTGTTCAGTGTTTATTTCAGCTCAGGTTTATTAAATAATATTAACTGATACAGCTTTGGATTTCAATAATGTTTTAATAATTGTTCAAATTAATTTAAGCTAAGATTAAGAAATTATTTAGTAGTGTTTTTCTTTGTTAGTCATGTTAACTAACGTAGTTAACTAATGTTAACAAATGGAGGCTTATTGTAAAGTTTCTAATCATTTAATTAAAAAATCAAATAAATTACATTATATGCTGATTAATAATTAAATAAATCACATTTATCAATATTTGCTGAGGGAAGTAACCAAATGAATATACATACAGGGCTGTCAATTCATTAACAATTCTGGTGGAATTAATTGCATAGTGTGCTTATTAATGAATCATAAAAAAATTATAATTTACATAAGTGTTTGTTTGCTGCATCCACTACACTGTTCAAAAGTCTGAGGTCAGTAAGATTTTTTTAAAGAAATTAATACTTGTATGCATCAATGATGCATTAAACTGATCAAAAGTGAAAGTAAAGACATTTATAATGTTACAAAAAGATTTCTATTTCAAATAAGTGTTGTTCTTTTGAACTTTCTATTCATCTGTGAATCCTGAAAAATAAATTGTTTCACGGTTTCCACAACAATATCGGGCAGAACAACTGTTTTCAACATTGATAATAATCAGAAATGTTTCTTGAGCTGCAAATCAGCATATTAGAATGATTTCTGAAGATCATGTGACACTGAAGACTGGAGTAATGATGCTGAAAATACAGCTTTGATCACAGGAATAAATTACATTTTACAACATAGTCACACAGAAAACAGCTATTTTAAATTTTAAAAATATTTTTAAATTTTAATATATTATTGATTAAATGCATACAGCCTTGGTGAGCAATAGAGACTCCTTTCAAGAACATTAAAAAATCGTACCGACCCCAGACTTTCCACACAGACATACAGTATTTGGATGTTACGGTGCATCTAGCTTGTCAAACCGGTTACTTTTTGGTGGTACTTCAAGCTTGAGTCTGTTGAGAAATCTGTTCAAATGGAGATGATGTACAGTCAGGGTGTATTTTAAGGGTGCTGCCAATTTAATAGAGCCATCAACCTCGGCAGAACTCAGGATTTACATTCACAATGGAAGTTTAAACAGACATTCATAAAACAAGGCTTATCAGTGCCCAGCTATGATCGAGAAGCCGTCTGGCAGCAGAGAGCTTGTTCTAGCTGCAGTAAGTCACTTTATTCTGCCTCCCGCTGCCAGCGGCGTCTGTGTCCGTAAACTGCTCTTCACGTTTCCAGATCCACAGGTGCTGCGGGGGAAGAGCTGAGCCCCGTCTCTGTGTGAGTACTGCCTTCATCACACTGTCTGTCCTCGCTCCCTGCTTGCGTTTGTTTTGAGCTGAAAAATCTGATTGTTCGGGCGGCCCGCAGCCCTGCTTCCATTCTCTTCTAATCGCACACAAGCTCAAAGACTGGAAACAGTTCTGGCATCATTTACTCTCCCTCATGTCATTCCAAACCTGTATGAGTTTCTTTCTTCCACTGAATCTAAATCTCCATTACTGGCTCGTTTCTGTTATGCAGTACCTTTTTGTGATTATTTTATATTTTATTTTATTCTATTTTATTTCTATTCTGTTAAAATTGTTAAACCATTATTATTGAAATATTAAGCAGCACAGTTGCTTTGAACATTAATTATATACTGAAGCCTGGAGTTATGGATGCTGAAAATTCAGGAATAAATTATATTTTAAAGTATTTACATTTTAAATATTTTAAAAAATGTTAAATGTATTTTAAAATGATGAAATGTAACAGTTGTTTATAATTGTTTATTCAGTTATATAGTAATAATATTTCACAATAATATTGTATTTTTGATCAAATAAATGCAGCCTTGATGAGCAGAAGAGACCTATTTTCAAAAACATGAACAAATATTTGAACGGTAGTGTATTTCTATTACAATATTATAACCTTTTGGAAATATTACTTTACTATGAATTGCACAATTAACATGATGCCTAAGGAACTGTTTACACAGGACACATTTGTTCTTGTTTTTGAAGTGAAAAACAGCTAGAAGACACAACGAAATGGAGCCAAACACAGGCTGGTTTAAAATAAAAACATTAAAGGGGTCATATGATGCTTTTTTAAAGATCATTATTCTGTGTATTTGGTGTAACAGAATATGTTGACATGCTTTAATGTTCAAAAAACACATTATTTTTCAAATACTGTACATTATTGTAGGTCCTCTATGCCCCGCCTCTCTCAAACGCTTCGTTTTCTACAAAGTCCCTCCTTCCGACAAGCGCAGTCTGCTCTGATTGGCCAGCTGACCCAGTGCATTGTGATTGGCCGAACACCGCAAGCACTCGTCGGAAATGTAACGCCCCTTACCATAATCGCGAGCTTCATCTTTCAAAATAAATGTAAAGACAGAGTCGTAATATCATTGCACCTGCTACACCCATAGTACGGCAGCAAAGTTCCTTGATTATTACGCCGGAATGAGAGTATAGTTCCTAGCCATATCGGCCTAGAAAATCGCAACTTTTTTTTTTCCGTCGGTCTTAGTACACAATGTAACTACAGAAGAGCCAAGTTTTAAATAGGAAAAATATAGAAACTCTTTGGTCATTTTTGAGCGAGATGCTAACAGTCTAATCAGATTCAATGATCTATGCTAAGATACAGCTAAAAGTGCTACCGCCAGACCCGGAGATCGGCTGAAGCTAACGCCAGACCCGGAGATTGGCTGAATGGATTCGAAAATGGTAAAACTCAACTGTTTAACTCTAGGGGAGTTGGAAAATGAGCCTATTTTCAAAAATAGTGGAGTGTTCCTTTGAAGCTGAAGTGTGTGAGGTCTACACCACAGAATTGCAAAAATAATGATTGTTGGCAGAGTGATTACACTTTTCGAGAAAGTCAACCAACAAATTAAGCTGGGATAGGAGAGTGCTTCAGTTTTAATTGTGGTATTTTAAGGCAAATTTGAATTGTACTGCATAGTGGGTCTTACCCGACTAATGTCTAACACTCACATTCCAGTCAAACTCAACCGTGCTGCATTTCCTCATCAAGCAGCGTTTGAGCAGGTTGTTGTTTCCTTGGTAACATGCATTCGTGTTCTCAAGAGGCTGTCGTTCATCGTTAACATTCCAGGCCGTCGTTTCCTCCTAACATCGTGTGTATTGTGTTGTTCATCTTTGACTAACATCTTTCTCTCTCATGTCAGTGATTTGATTTCCAGTCATCGATTGTCGTTCATTAATGAAGCGTTTTCACTGAACGTGTGGATAATGAATATTTGATTCACATCGATGTGCCGTGACTCCTAATGTCTTGATCTCTCCGCCTGCATGCATGAATTGTTCAAAACAAGTTTTGATTTTTCTCAATTAGATCTGTCATCTTCACTTACAGTCAACTGATGAAGCAAACAAACTTTTTTTTTTTTGACTCCTGATCCGGAAACATGAAAATTCAAGCTAAATTATCAGGCTCGCTGTTGAGGCAGACTTTTTTGGTTTGAATTTTTTGGATGTAATGCAAATGAAACAGAAAAATGTCTTGTTGTGGGACATTCATTTACTAACCCATAAAACACAGGCTGCTTTGATTTCACCTTGATTTCACCTTGGACAGAGATAGGCAGAATATATCACATATTACCCATAATGCTGAAAAAAACAAGATGTGCTTCAATGCAAGTTATGCTCAGTTTTATGCATTTATTGCATAATGTTGATTGACTCCTTTTTGCAATTTTTAAAACTGAAGAACAAGTGGCCATTAAGTCACAAATGCTGTTGATTGAGTTTAAGTTGGGAGATTCCTTTGGAGTTTGATTCCGCCAGTGTTGATGACAGGTCTGATGAGCCAAATGCCATCATAAGCTTATGAATTTTGTGATTCTGTGTGTGCAGAATCACGTATGTTCCTGCAGAATATTTAGAGGAATACAGGGCGAGCCAGCAGCTCCAGAGTGATGATCTCTCTGATGGCAAAAACAACACTCAACAGTACGTACTCCACTCACACTTCATCCTGTCAGCTCTCATTGACTCGTAGAGCTGTAAAATGGACAAAAAAATGAGAGCTTTGTGTTTGTGTGTTTAGTCAGACGGCCTCAGATCTTCCAGAGAGAGAAGATGGAGAGGGACAGGAGAGTGAACGACAGACAGCAGCTTCCAACAGCTGGAATCTACCACGGAGGTGAGGACAGATCAATAAGTTGCATGTGATTGAAAAACATGAACATATCTATTAGGAATGGATATGTATTAGAAACCCGTTTATGTTGGTATTCTTATTATTGTTTCTTTGGGAGCATATGGCAACCCTTAAAACCATTGGAGCAAAATTTGGTGCGTTCATTAGGGAAGGTATGAACATCAATATGACCAATTTTAGGCTCTCTCACTCGAACCCTTTAGCAACACCGTAAGTTTAAAATTGGGCATTTCATATAACCATATGACCTATTTACAGTCTTCAGATTTTTGATGAAATATGCTGTATGCTATAAACAGTTTGGCATACTGAAACAGACAAACAATATATTGTATATATATATATATATATATTATATATAATATTCTCCTATAATAATTGTCGGTTACACTTTATTTTAAGGTGTCCTTGTTGCACTGTAATTATACATTTAAGTACTGAGTAATATTAATTAACTACATGTACTTACTATATTGTTAGGGTTAGGATTAGGGTTTGGCTTAGGGTTACTTGCATGTAATTATGCATAATTAATTGTTATTATAATAGTAAGTGCATGTAACGTGTAACAAGGACACCTTAAAATAAAGTGTTACCTAATTGTCCTATGTAGGTGTCACAGTACAGAAGGAGACCAGGGACGGAGAGGTAAAGTAAACTGTGAGCTTTATTGAACAGGTGCTGGGAGAGGGAGAGAGATATGGAGAGCCAACGGGTTAGAGCAACAGTCTGAGGAATGGAAGGGATCGGGCTCACGTGATGACTGGGCTTAACTGGGGATCTGGAGCCCCTCCTGGGCTTAACTGGGGATCAGGAGCCCTTCCCGGGCTAAACGGGGAATCAGGAGCCCTTCCCGGTCTGAATTGGGAATCAGGAGCCCTTCCCGGGCTGAACTGGGGATCAGGAGCCCTTCCGAGGGGATCTGCGTGACGCCAGTCATGAGCAGGCGGTGGAGGCCATCCGTAACGCTGCAAACCCTGTGGTGTTCGTGGTGCAGAGCATCATTCACAGAGACAGAGTCAGTATCACACACACAATACAAACATCTGCTGAACTGATCCATTTATTTATGCTGGTTAACACGTGTGGGTGTTTATAACATATTTATTACAGCTGCATACTAACTATGGCTGGGTGATATAGCTTTAATTGAACTTTATAAAACACACTCTTTTATCTAAAAGTTAGATGTTCGTGTACATTTTAATCAATTAAATTAAAACTGACTGTTTACATTCTGTTGACAATCTCAACATTTTTCAGCCTTTTAAGGATACTTGTTGCTTTATAGCTCAGTGTTTATATATTTGCTCTGCAGTGTTTTCATTTTTTTTTAATCAGAGGAATCTCATTTTAATTGAACAGCCACTGTTGCAAAGTATATTCAAAATGTTGCATGCAAGAAGTAAAATACATTAAAGATCTAGTTAGAAATAATTTTTCCACACAGTTTTTTTTTTTTTTTTTGCTAAAGGAACACCGTGGGGAGAACTCATCTGTGCCATCGGTGTGGTTCCTATCTTCTGTCACAGTACAGAAGGAGACCAGGGACGGGGAGGTAAAGTAAACTGTGAGCTTTATTGAACAGGTGCTGGGAGAGGGAGAGAGATATGGAGAGCCAACGGGTTAGAGCAACAGTCTGAGGAATGGAAGGGATCGGGCTCACGTGATGACAGGTTCCTTTGTGGATCGGGCTGAAGAGGATGGCACAGAGACAGGAAGGTATCAGGATGGGCCACTGTTGCAAAGTATATTCAAAATGTTGCATGCAAGAAGTAAAATACATTAAAGATCTAGTTAGAAATAATTTTTCCACACAGTTTTTTTTTTTTTTTTTGCTAAAGGAACACGAAGTGTATTTAATTATTTTCATTTAAATGCACCAATATAACAATACTTTTGTCAAAAAGAAGTGCACTTTAGCATACTTATTATGGAAGTGATATAGTTTGAAGAATATACTGCAATAAAATGAAATAAATTATATTCAAATTTATATTAAATGCAATTAGCTGAACTTTAGAGTGTTTAAGTAAGACTTAAGTACATCTTTATATATATTTAATTTCACAATTACTTCTTTTGTCTTTGAAATATGGCTAAAGTACTGCTGAATGTACTGACAAGCATTTATGGTAAAATAAAATATACTTTAATATTGAAACTTGTATCTCATGTATTTAAATATATTTGTAATTACACATTTGTAATGATGAAATTGCAATTTCAATAGTCAACGGTGGCTTGATTGGTGGCAGCAGGTGCAGGTGATCAGAATCCAGGTGTGTGAGATCTGGTGAGCTTGGTGATTGTGAATGTGAACTGGTGTGAGCCGAGGAGGATTCTGGGATATGGAGTCCAGAGCTGGTGACATGACAGATACTCCCTGACAGTAGGGTCACATACATTTTGCATTTGCCTAAAATGTGTTTTAAGATTGTAAATGTATTTTCTTGCTCTTAAGTACATTTTTAAATATGTTGGTATTTGAAGGTTTAAACAAAATATATTTTGTTAAAAAATATTCAATAAAAAATATATCCTTCATTAACTTGCATGGTTTACAACTTATATTTAGCATATATTTGAGAAATATTTTGGCCAGAAAAAAAACACAAACACAAAGTTTGATGCTGTTCGGTCAGAAGGTGGGATCATGATGATGAGAAACATATCAGTGAAGACAACTGTGGGAAAGTCATGAAAATGTATTGATCATAATGTTGCAAATTGACGTTACTGGATGTTAATTGAATGTTCTGCGTGTGTTTGCTCAGAGTGGAGTTGCACAGGGAAGCTGGGAAATCTCTGGGCATCAGCATTGTTGGTGGGCGGGGCATGGGCAGTCGCCTTAGCAACGGGGAAGTGATGCGGGGCATCTTTATTAAACACATCCTGGAGGACAGTCCAGCGGGATGCAACGGCACACTGAAGACAGGAGACAGGATTTTAGAGGTACACACACACACTTACTTAGCTATGTATTATAACAGAATAACATAAAGTGATTTACAATTATAAATTATTATTAATACATTACAATAATCCAACTCTAATCTAAATTAAAATGCTAAAAAGCACAAAATCAGGATGTAAATAGAGGTCATATTTTTATTTTCTCTCAAAATTGTTTTTAATGAAGAACATACAGTTCTTGAAACATCTGGAGTTACAAAATGAATTGTAGTTAATTAATTTGCTATTTACATATTTCCAGTTATTGTTAATAAAATGAAAAGATTGAAATGCGGGGCATCTTTATTAAACACATCCTGGAGGACAGTCCAGCGGGACGCAACGGCACACTGAAGACAGGAGACAGGATTTTAGAGGTACACACACACACTTACTTAGCTATGTATTATAACAGAATAACATAAAGTGATTTACAATTATAAATTATTATTAATACATTACAATAATCCAACTCTAATCTAAATTAAAATGCTAAAAAGCACAAAATCAGGATGTAAATAGAGGTCATATTTTTATTTTCTCTCAAAATTGTTTTTAATGAAGAACATACAGTTCTTGAAACATCTGGAGTTACAAAATGAATTGTAGTTAATTAATTTGCTATTTACATATTTCCAGTTATTGTTAATAAAATGAAAAGATTGAAAACAAGCAGCTCTGTCATACTTACAGCAGAAATGCTGGAAATACCTTAAGATATCTGACCCAGCTTTATACAAGCTCAGTGGACAAAAAAAAAAAACGTCCTTGATGAAATCCAAAAAATGTAACATTTTATTTATTATTTTAAAAAATGTTTAATGTTTTAAATTTACTTTTATTTACATTTGTTTGAAATTTTCTTATAATTGTCAAATGTCTATGTCATTTTAATTATAAAAAAGTAACTTCTTCACCCAATATTTGCATGTACAGTGTATTTTAGTGCTTGTTGGAGTATCGCATTGTTAGTTTAGCAACATGTTAGCGTCAAACTCCACTCGACTCAATTGTGAATCAATTCATCTGTGTACTTCATGTGAAAAACGCAATTTGTGTGGAGCACAATGTAGAGCATTGCAAATCAGTGATTATGAGGTTGCATTTCAGTTCTTATATCATGGTACAGCAGTAAATATTATTTACAAAATATTTATTTTTGCACCAAATGTTGAATTCTATAAATTCAGGAAGTTGCAATGTTGCTCGCGTTGTTGCGACACACTAAAATTAACTTTTACATTCATTGAAGCTGTCTACACTGGAAGTGGCATGGCACAGTTTGCACAATTTTCTGCTTGCTGTCTGATTTTTTTTAAATCATAATATAAATAATATAGCAAATTCAGTTGATACATTTTTACTTTGGCATGTATACTGTCATACAGCCCAGCCTGTCTAGGTAAGCAGAGTGGCATATTTTTGGCAGGTTTTGGGCTACACACCTGCTCATAAAGTCGAGCTCTATGTGTGTGTGTGTGTGTGTGTGTGTGTGTGTGACAGGGGGGCGGGGGGGGAGAGAGAGAGAGAGAGAGAGAGAGAGAGCTTTTCCAGCTTAAACGTAAAATACATTAAAGATCTAGTTAGAAATAATTTTTCCACACAGTTTTTTTTTTTTTTTTTGCTAAAGGAACACGAAGTGTATTTAATTATTTTCATTTAAATGCACCAATATAACAATACTTTTGTCAAAAAGAAGTGCACTTTAGCATACTTATTATGGAAGTGATATAGTTTGAAGAATATACTGCAATAAAATGAAATAAATTATATTCAAATTTATATTAAATGCAATTAGCTGAACTTTAGAGTGTTTAAGTAAGACTTAAGTACATCTTTATATATATTTAATTTCACAATTACTTCTTTTGTCTTTGAAATATGGCTAAAGTACTGCTGAATGTACTGACAAGCATTTATGGTAAAATAAAATATACTTTAATATTGAAACTTGTATCTCATGTATTTAAATATATTTGTAATTACACATTTGTAATGATGAAATTGCAATTTCAATAGTCAACACATTAAAATAAATGTACTTCTTTTAAAACACGACAAAAGATTATTAAAACAATTATTACAAAGCTCACTTTTTAAAAGTGTACTTAAGTAAGTTCAGAAACAGTCATGAAAGTGTCTTTAAGTCACTTAAGTGGCCTTTTATTTCATTAATATATTCTCTGCAAGTACAGTTTTTTTTAATATGCTTTTAAAATTTGAAGTACACTACAAGTGCACATTCAATACAATTAAGCGCACTTAATTTTTAAAAGGGTAGTGGTAAACAGTGATATTTACCTACTTATATTTTTGCTAAATTATTTTCATACATTAAAAAATTGTCATGCATTGACTTCAGTAAAAGCACATTACTGAATAAGTTTTGAATCGATTCCTTGAGTTTAGATTAATAGAAATCAATCAAGCTTACAAACTGTGACAAAGGTTTGGCTACTGAAGCTTTAATCAGAAAGACTATTAAAGCTCTCTCTTGATGCTATACTCTTACTTTCTGAGAAACCTAATGACCAAATATGAAGCATATTAAAATCATCACAGTGTTACTTAATTTGATATTGTCAACAGAATCATCATGTATGGAAAGATATTCCGGACTAATTTCAAACGGAATTGCAAATTGTATTTTCAATTGCGTTTTCCATAAGTGGACGCATAAATTGTGACATAATCTTGCATTACCATTTGCGTTTTCGCGAACACACAGTGACTGCCAAATTTCAAATAGAAAAGCAAAGTCCACTTGCAACTGTATTTCCCATGTCTTATGAGTTATGAGCCTGTCATATTTAAAAAGCAATATTAATTACCACATTACCATATTCACCATTAACCAAACGTTTTCACCTGCCTCATCATCTCTCACTGTTTGCACTCCGATGGATGCATGATTGATGAGACAGGTGAAAAGCGTTTCATTAAACTGTGCGTTTGCAAAAGTGAAAACGCAAACGGTAATGCAAGATTTGCAATTGCGTTTGGATTGTCACAAATTCTGCGTCCACATATGGAAAACACAACTGAAAATACAAATTGTAATTCCTTTTGAAAATAGGATAAAATAGGAATATCCTTCCATAACCATGAATATATTGTGAATCTTTAATATATCTCCCAGCACTAACTAACTAACTGCTTTTGTAACTGTTTAGTGCTCAGAAAGACAGGACTGGACCGCTTTGCATCTGTCTCTCGCTCTGCACCTCATCTGTCTGTCTGTCTCTCAGCCTGACTCTCTGTATAGTTTTGATTCACCTCCTGTCATAGAGAAATACGGAACTGTTTTAAAATGCGTCCCTGTGCCAAAGTGTCAGGTAATTTCTGTTCGGCCCTCTTATCTCCGCTCCCAGCATCCCTCATTCAGCTCGGCTTAGCCTTAAGATTTGCCAGTAAGCCAACTTAAGCACATTTACGAACTCAATCAAATGCGATTAAATAAGTAACACTCCGGTTATGGCTCTCCAAAGTTCAACTGTTTTGCTGTTAATGTCCCGAACCACTTCCTCCACTTAGTTTGATTTACCCGCAGGCCTCTTTTTTAAATAATAGCACTTCTAGTTTACATATTAGATGTTTTAATGACTCGTCTTGCGGGATGAAATGTGTTTAAGCTGATATACTGGCGCAGGGTGATTCTGGCTTGCTAACCTTCTGTGTTGTGCTTGTAGAAACCTCCCGTAGCCCTACTACAGCTGAAGCGCTCAGAGCAACCCCTCCATACTTACCCCGAATCCTGCTTTACATACAAACCGCTACAGGTTAGATGGAGTCGCCTGCGTATATGTGTGTGTGTGTGTGTGTGTGTGTGTGTGTGTGTGTCTGATGTGTTGAATGGTTATCAAGTGGTACATTCTAGAAAACTCATCCTTGTTCCTCGAAGTTTTTGCATGGTTATGTTTCATTTTGAAAGTTCTGTGGGTTTTAGTTTAAGTATATACTAGCAATGAAAATATATGACTTTTTGTCCAATAAAATGCTCTGTAGAATGAAAATGTCCCTTGTGAAAAAGAAGTGCACTTAATTTTATTGAATATGCACTTGTAGTGAACTTCAAATCTGTACTTGCAGATAATATAATATTAATTTACTAAAAGGCTACTTAAGTGACTTAAAGAGACACTTTCGCAATTGCTTCTTAACACACTTAAGTATGCTTTTAAAAAGTGCATTTGCCAATAGTTTTTAAATTAAGTTTTACTTTAAAGTACATTTGAAATCATTAAGTGTTATTAATCTTTTGTCCTGCTTCAACCTCTTAACTAAGGTTGGTCTTTTTTTAAAGAAGACAATTAGCAGATTATTACTGAAGCATTTCAAAAAATTAAAATGTAAAAAAAGTTATACAAGTTTAAGTTTACTGTAAAGAAAATGTACTGTACTAAAATGTTTTATTTTATATAAAATAAATATTTTACAAAATATTTTGGAATCTAAAATTGCTATAAACTCAAAGCCATTTGTCTAGTTAAGTTATGTTCCAAATTTGAAGTTGATATCACAAAAATTGAGGTTACTTTAATTTTTCAAGATTAGAAAAAGTTTTGATAAAATATTGTAGTATATTTAGTCATATGACACTTGACACCGCCCACTAGGGGGAGGAAAATGAATTGTGAGTGTTTAAGCTTTTAATTACACTTTATTTTAAGGTGTCCTTGTTACAGTGTAATTACACATTTAAGTACTGAGTAATATTAATTAACTAAATGTACTTACTATATGGTTAGGGTTAGGATTAGGGTTTGGCTTATGGTTACTAGCATGTAATTATGCATAATTGTTATTATAATAGTAAGTACATGTAACGTGTAACAAGGACACCTTAAAATAAAGTGTTACCAAGCTTTCAAATGATATCCAATTTCATTGTAATTAACATGCAAAAGTAAGTGTCCGAAAGCATTCAATTCGCACTTAAGTATTTTATTTCCTTGATAAGTACTCTTTTAAAATAAGTATCCTACTAGGGCTGCACAATTAATTGAATTTCTAATCGCGGTTACAATTATGGATGCCACAATTGCGTAATCGTTCAAAGTGGCAATTAATCGTTCAAAGTCCACTTATGTTATTCTGCTCGCTTAAGATATGTTTTTTTCTTTCTTCATGTTATCTTAAGGGTTTTTCCATTGTTTTTAGTTTAGTTTTAGTATAACATCATTCAATGTAAATTGTGATGATCGTAATTAATAACCGCAATTACAATTTCAAGGGAATAATCGACAATTATGATTTTTGTCATTATCGTGCAGACCTAATCCTAAAGTGTAAATCTTTTTCACAATGGGTTTCATGATATGACTCAAAACAGCTCTGTTTTTAATCATGAAATCACACATCACGACTGTTTTTGCTGAAATCTCAACCTGCAAAAAATCCCAAAACTACAGGATTTAATCTGTCTGATTTCTGCTATATTTCTAACTGACCGTTACATTTCTCAGCTGACCAAAGCCCTTGTATCAAGGCACCTGTAAAGTCCGGCTCTCTGCGGTCTGTCCTTCTCTTCATCAGACCAGATGTGCGCTAATGATCCATGCATCATTCCCGCCCAGCAGATGTCTCTCTGCAGATGGCTCTTAAAAGTAGCTTTGTTTCAATGGCACTGAACAACAAGTACAAACCCGAGGGGGGATCCGCGGCCATAAAGAAAGACTTTCATTACTGTGCAGGACTTTAGTTCGGATCTTCTAGACCAACAGAGAGCTGGTCAATGACATTAGAGTTTAATGATGTTGTTGAAGTCATGTAGAGTGTTTTTTGTGGGACTGTGTTTGACGAGGACTGTTCTTGAATTTTTAATAATGGCAGACATCTGCGCTGGATGCAGTGGAAGACATTTCAGCCTTCGATCTGAAGAGCAGCGGTGAGAAGGTGAGCAGACGGACGCCAGTGAATCCGCTCTAGTGCTTCTTCATCACAGATATATGACTCTAGATTTTAAGTAGCTCACCAAAAATGAATTTTTGTCATTGTTTTCTCACTCTCGGGTCATTCCTAAACTTGTATGATTGTCTTCAGTGAAACTAAATATTTTCAAGAATTAATGGAGTTCTTTTCATTACAACAAAGAGCTGTTAGAAAATCAAAACATTTCAAAACAACGGTTCAGAAAAGAAAAACTCTTTTGAAGCCAAGACAACTTTGTCTGAGCAATGGAAACAGAGCAATTCAATGATAAAAGTGTTATTTTATATATA